TATCGCTGGGTCGCTACATGCCCTCAATACTGTTTTTGGATATATACTGATGGGAAAAGTTAATGTCACTCCTCATTCAACAATCAGGTCATTTTTGTGTACCCCTAATAATTCTTTGGATAACACTTTGAGACAATTTTGGGAAATAGAGAATATTCCGCACAAGCCATGTCTTTCGCCTGATGGGATTTTGTGTGATCAAATATTTTCGCGTACATGCACTAGAACTGAAACAGGACGATTTTGTGTAAGTTTGCCTTTACGCGATTCTCCTCCTGTTTTTCCTGGATCACGATCGCTAGCCTTGAATCGATTTCATTCCTTAGAACGCAACCTTTTAAGAGATAATAAATTTTATGCAGAATTTTCGGATTTCATGAAAAAATACTCAGCATTTGAACATATGGAACCGGTTCCAAGGAATGAAAGATTCACTGTTGCCTCATATTATATATGTACTGAAACCTGACAGTTCGAGCACTCGTTTGCGAGTTTTTTCAACGCATCCGCTAAACTACCAGGACAAACTTCTTTAAATGATCATCTTCTTACTGATAATAAGTTACAAAAGGATATTTGTTCAATATTGTTGAAATTTCGTCTTCATAAATTTGTAATATGCGCAGATATGAAAATGAGGTACCGTATGATAATTTTGGACCCGCCCAGAGAGACTTTCAAAGAATTTTGTGGATATTCTCTCCACAAGATCCCGTACAAGACTATCGACTTTGTACGGTAGTATATGGTGTCAAATCTAGCCCGTACCTCGCTTTGCAAACTCCATAAGCTTGCTGAAGATCACAGGGAAAAGTTTCCTCGTGCCTCCGAGAATTTGGTTTTCTGTCAAATATGCGCTTGATCAGATTCGCAAGTATCTTTAGCTTGGATCTCTTCGTCTCCTCACAGGTGGAAAACTCTTGTAGCAAATCGCGTCACGTTCATTCAAGAAACACTTCCCGCAGAACGTTGGTTATTTGTTGATTCTGAGAATAATCCCGCTGATTGCGCCTCTCGGGGTATGTTACCTTCGAAAATGCTCTCGAATTCTTTGTGGTTTGACGGTCCGGAATTTCTACGTGAAACTACTGAATCGTGGTTGAATAGTCCTGCCCATAATTTTATGCCTGATGAAGCAAGAGAGGAAGAAGTCAAAACTGTTTTGTTTGCTGAATGTGATGACAGCAATTTTATTGGGAAATTACTCGAGTATCATTCCTCATTTTTCAAATTACAAACAATCACTGCATATGTTTTACGATTTTTGCATAATGTAAGAAATCCTTCGAATAAAAAAATTGGTACTCTTCGTTCAAAGGAATTATAAAAATCATTGTTGATTTTAGTCAAATATACACAATCTATTTCTTTTGCTCATGAATTGAAAAGTAAAGTTTTCTCCAAACCAATTCGAAAACTGAATGCCTTTATAGATGAACAAGGTATTCTTCGTGTAGGGGGTCGCCTCAAATATTCTAACTTATCCTACAACGAGAAGCATCCCATTTTATTACCCAGAGATTCAAGATTGACTTACTTATTGATTGAATACTATCATCTCAAATATTTACATTCTGGATTGCAAACAGTTAGTTTCCTTTTGTCACGCCAGTTTTGGATTCTCTCGTCCAAACGCGCCATCCGCGCTGTGATTTCTAAATGTTTGAAATGTTGGAAAACGCAACCCCGCAATTTTCAACCCCCTATGGGCAATTTACTGTTGTCTCGTATTTCTCAAGTTATTATCGCTCATATTTTTAGGACCTTTATCTCTATTTTTCACGTTATTAAACTTGTTGATTAGACTAGTGATATCGTTATCGCCGCTGTAGAGCAATCTTGTGTTGCTAGCGACACGACGTGCATATTGAAATACAATATATTGCCTGTAGTTTAGCATTTGTCACTTGGTTAAAGTGTCGGACGATCCAGCATTCAATATTAAATTTGTGGAACTTGTGGAAAACTACCCATGTATTTATGATTATCTACGGCAAGATCATAGTAAAAGGGATGTTGTGGAGTGTTATTTATGATGAAGTAAAATTATCTGGTAAGTAGCAGGTATTCATTATCGATGATTTTGATTACACGGTATAATTACCTTACCAGGGTAAGGCGTTTTCGGGTTTAAAAAAATAAGATTTCAAGTAATCACGTAATTCTCGTAATTCAAGACTGGTGAATGGGTGGTATATTATGTGCTGATGGATTTCTACCTCTGGGGTTATCTTTCATAATATGTGGAATTGAAAATTTACTCTCTTTGTCTTTTATAAAATTGTGGAGAATACAACCACTTTTAATTACTGAAATCGCTGTATTCTCTTGACATATCATTGGCCTTTGAAAAATTTCAAATTTGGATGTTAGCATTCCGAATGTACATTCTATGCTTTTTCGCCCCCTTGATAATCTGTAGTTGAATATTCTTTTTTCATTATCAAGAACCCTTTGTGGATATGGTCGCATCAGATTTGTTTGTAACGGGAATGCCTCGTCTCCTACAAAATAAAATGGAAAATTTACACCCTCATTTGGCAGTGGTGTTGACTTGGGAATCAGAAGTTTTTTCATGTTCAGAAATCTTCCAAGAGTAGAAAACCGGAAAACTGCACCGTCACCCATTCTACCTGCTTCACCAACATCAATGGTTAGAAATATTTCATCAGCATTTGCGCAGGCCATCAGTGCCACCGAAAAAAAACTTTTGTAATTATAATAATGCGAACCGGTCTTGTAAAATTTTTTAATTCGGCAATGATTCCCATCGACTGAGCCTATATAGTTTGGAAGATCCCATAGTTCTTAGTATCGTTGTGCCGTCGATTTCCAAGTTGGAACAGACATAAACAATGGTTGAAGAACGTGCCATATAGCCTATGTACATTCTTTTACTATTAATCCTATAGTAGTATCTCCTCTCATAAATATATGGGTGAGGGCCTTGAAACTGCAACTTGTAGCCAAATACCTGCGACAAAGTTGTGTAATTAGTTTTCTTTTTTTTAGGTCCTCAATGCAAAGAAAAGTGGAAGAACCTTCGAACGGCGTATGCAAGGAGGATGAAAAAACTACCATCAGGAAGCGGAGCCAGGAAAATTAAAGACTATTACTGGAAAGACGTCATGCAGTTATTAAGCCTTTCATGAAATTCAAACCGCAACAAGGAAATTTACCTACAGAAACAGAGCCCAGTGTCAATGAAGACAACGATAGTGAATCTGAAGCAGAGACGAATAATAATGAGCATTCAGAAGAAGAGATTACAGCGTCAGTTAGAAACTCCCAAGAGAAGCAAAAAGATATCACAACTGTCGTTAGAAGGTCCCAAGAGAAAAACCCACAAACTCAAGCACAGTGTTCGAATACTGCAGGCATTAGACCTTCTGAGAAGCGGCAAAAAGTTTCTACAACTACCCTTAATGAAGCTAATAAGTGTTTTATGGAATATGTCAAGTCAAAAACCTCAAAAACCAATTCAGCGATAGAGAAGCCTAGTCCAGATCTCCAGTTCCTAACAAGTTTGCTTCCAGATCTAGCAAAATTAACTGACTATCACAAGAGACAGTTCAAAAAAAGAAAACTTGAGTTTCTCGAGATGAACTTTTGTGTGACGGACCATCCGCAAATAACACTATGATGGTACCAATACCAACTCCTAGCCCTGTTTATTTCAACTACTCAACTCAGTCCAATGTTTCCACTCATTCACGCCACTCTTTTTCAACAAGAGAATATGGAGAACAACCAACACCTGTACAAACATATTTGCAGACTTTTTCACCTGATATGTCAGATGGTCATGACAGATCACGCTCTCTTACAGAACTTTAATGTAGGAATTGTTTTGTATTTTATTGTTTCCTATTCATTAAAATGCCACTTTTTCAATATAGTCAGTCGATTTCATATACCTCACCTGAGTGTAATCAATAGTTTCTCCTGTGGGGTGATCGCATCTCTGTAGTTAGTATCTTGTTTGGTAATATACGGTACTAACATCTCCAGGAGTGTTTCAAAAGTATCTGGATTCATCCGATAGCTGTTCTGGAAACTGGGTGGGATGAGCCTTCAATTCTTCGGCACATATACTTGCTCTATGATTCTTGAGCACTTGACATGATGGATGAATCCAATATCGTCTTTATTTCCTATTTCTTCGCCTTAAATACTGCCACAACATTACAACTTCGTCCTCATCAGAAGACGACATTTTGAAATAGTGATATTTCATCGGTGTGCAAGATCCTATGCTATGCATTGCCTGTTGCTTATTGCCTATTGCTGATTGCTTATTGCTCCGGTGTGCGAGCTTACTAATAGGCCGATAATTCCTAGCGAGTTTCCTATTACCTGCTTTGAGAATTGGTGCAGTTTATTGATTCTTTCCAAGCACCAGGTATAATACTGGTTAGGAAGCATAAATTTATTATATGTGATACGGTTTCAATAGGTTTTTGTTGATTTTTTTTATCAAATAAACCAAGATACGATCAGGATCTGCCGATGTATTTATTTTTTAGAGTAGCAATTATTTCATTACTTGTTACTGGATTGAGAAACAGCGAATCACTTATGAGAATTTATTTCTTGCAGAGAAGTTATGGTATCAATTTTTTGGACCATTAGCGTTCCCACCTGACAAAAAATTTATTGAGATATTCAGCTTATTCTAGATCTGATGAAATTTCATTACCTTGGTCATCAGTTATATTTATACTATCTGCTTGAGAACTTTTCGATGAATTTGTAATATCATTCATTTCATTCCAAATTTTTTTATCTTTATTATTTGCTGCTGTTTATAGAACTTAATATTAAACTCGATGACAATTTTAAAAAGAAGGAAAATATTTCATATTATGCTAGAATTTTGTGTTTTTTCATAAATAAATTAATGAGTCTAAAGAAACAGTAGTGAAACAATGTAATGAAGTCGCTGCTGTCATACATCAATAATAAAGTCCTCACTCGATTTTATTTTCTTTTTTTCTTTTTTACGTCGTACGGTCGTCAATTTTAGCAAATATTCTGTGTCTATACGTTTTTGTCACCGAATTTTGCCTTCGCCTCATTCATAAGTAAGCGTTTATTTTTTGTCAGATCTTCGGTGATAAATAACTTTTTACTTTTATATTTGGCAATGTTTTTCAGAATTCCAGTTTTAAATTCATTGTTTTCGAACATTAAAATCGTTGGTCGAGGTTTCCCTAATATGCCAGTTTGTGACCCTATTCCGAATGCTGACGTAAAGTTACTGCTATTCGTTTCGTTGAGTATTTGAAGACACTTGAGGAAAATATTTTCATTTTCGCTTTCTTGGATGCCGGGGATACAAATATTGTTTCTTTATTTATATTGCAACAAATCATCCAACTTTTGTTCCATTGACTTTATCACTTCACCTTTTTATAACTTTTTCGAGCTTCTCCAGTTTTTTGTTCACTATCTCAGTCTTTTTTTTTGTTATCTGTGCAATTAAATTTTTGTTGGTGAATGCTTCCGCAATAGTTTCCTTAATAATATTCTGCACTTCTAACTTATTTCTCGTTCCTATGAGTTTCTCTTTACACTGAAGATGACTGCCGTAGTTGCAGTTGCCGCAGTTGAAACGGCAACTGCAAAACCACGGAAAAACCCCGAAACTAACCAAAACATTAACGCCATCCGTGAAAGCCTACGGACATATTATTTGAAAATTCTTTAAAATTTGGTATTTTTAAAGGACCAGACAATTTTCTAGTAGAGTTAATTAATTATTTGAAATCTGACAATGTATATAAAATAATTCAATTGCATTTCATTCAAATTTACCCAAAAATGAATTTCCCAGTTTGAGTAATTTTGGAAAATGAATGATTTTTATTTTTTCAAGCACCTATTTATGTGAACAAACATTTTCAAGAGTGAATTTCATAAAATCATACTATAGAACGAGGTTGACGGATGAAAAATCACAAAACATTGCCCCTTCAGTCAATTCATCTTCATAGTTGAGGAACTCCTAAATGCTGAAACTACTACCAGTGAAATAGTTTCAAAATATGATAGCGCTTTTCTAGATCATAGGAATTCTCTGAGCAAATGATGGTTGTATGATTTATATTGACGATAAATATGCATATACCCATGAAATTACAAAAAAATTTGAATCAACTGCAATCAAACTCTCCAAAATTAGACTCTGAACACCTGAACATAAATATGTCTTCATAGATCGCCGCCTCAAAATTCAGAAAATTTTAATACTGAAATGGAGGAATAACTCAAAGGAAACATTGATAAAAATCATAGAAATATCCTAATGGGTGACATCAATATAAATATACTGGGTGAAAAAACAAGGGTAACTGAAAGTTCAGAATCTTGTTTACATCATTTATTTTTCAATAACATCCATATCCATGGTACTGTAACGAATTAAAGAATTTACTGTCTCAAATTTATTTCTAACAATATTTCACTGTCGCAAACTAATAATTTATTTACAACACTCAATTTAGTTTCACTATTTCAATTCTTTATTTAACAGCTTGATTCACTTTCTAAATTCGACTGCCATCTCTGGACGAAAAGCGGGCCTTATATGTCGGTAACGATCGTTCTAGATTTTTCTAGTGGTTTCGGTACTCAACTAGAATTTAATCGGCGTTTCTGTCGACTGCATTCTTTCACGGTGAGTCATGTGTTTATTCGCTGGCTGAGATATCGGTCAAGGCCGGCTTCAGATTTGTTACAGTACTCATATTGTCTTAAAAACACATTTTACGGGCCATTTCCCGATTATTTTTGAATTTGCAAATCAATCGCACGGTGGAAGATGGAACTTTCAACACATATAGGAGCAAATTGAACACGTTGATTAAACAAGCTACAAACAACTAGTTTAAGAAAAAGATTCAAGCTAATGTGGGTAATAGTAAACAAATCATCTGGGAAACAATTGAAGAAGCATATTCGAGAAAGAATAAGGAATATGAAATTGCGGAATATGAAAATGCGTACAAAAACAGGTGAACAGGTGAAATCATAGACACTTCAATACTGTAGTTGGTAAAGATTTGACACACAAAATTAAACATAACTATATATACTTTAAAGAAACAAGCGGTTGAATTATTCAATTTTCTTAGAGACTGAACTGAAATCGAAAACCTAATTCCAAAACTTGAAATGAACAGCGCAGCGGGACTTGGCAATATTAGTGCAAAAACACTCAAAAGTATTGTAAAAATATCTAAACCTTAATGCCACTTGCATAACCAAATTTTGAAGAGCGGCTACTGGCCAAATCAATTGAAAAATTCCTTGTTCAAACCAGTATATGTATAGAAGCGGTTACAAAATGAACTGCAATAAATAAATATAAGCAAATATAAAATTATTTTGCCTTGCCAATAAGGATTTTGAAAAGTGAATCCACATATGATGCAATTGAAGCACCAACCACATAAATCTATAGAATACATGAAAAAAGTCATTTATGTTTGTGCATATTTGTGGATTTATCTAAAGCATTCGACACAGTGTGCCATCAAAAATTACCCGAATCTATTAAACGATCTGGTTTGAGAGGTCAAATCACAGAACTAATAAATAGCTGGAACTTCCATTTTGTGCATTTAGAAACTTGTGTTTCTAACAACTCGACCATAGCTATTCAACAAATAGAAATCAATTTGTAAGGATAAACGACCATCATAATAACTTTGAAAACAAGTTTCAAAAAGTACAGTTTTGGGGCTTATTTTGTTCAATATATATTTAAATGCTTCATATAATATGGGTACCGAAGGTAATATCATTAGTTTGGCGGATGATACAGTAGTCTTTCATTCTGGAGATTCATGAAGTCATTTAATCAACACAGTTGAAAATATTTTGCAAAATTGAAATGCTGAAATCGAAAACCTAATTCCAAAACTCGAAATGAACAGCGCAGCGGGACTTGGCAATATAAGTGCAAAAACACTCAAATGTATTGTAAACATTATATCTAAACGTTTTGATTGCATTGTGATGTGTGGGGATTTCTATATAAACTACCAAAAATCACATAATGATACCAAATCTCTCTGGTATATCTTGGATTCATACCAGCTAATTGGAAATTTCCAAGGTGCTACCAGGGTGTTCATTAACAAGAATGCTCATACTAGTTCTACCATCATCAATTATATGGTGGCAAACCCACCACAGTCAACCTTTGAATGTAATTTGATACCGCCCAATATAGCCGTTCCAAAACATAAATTCCCCAGATGAAAATGACAGTCCCACTTCTCAGGTCCTAAGATGACAATTAAATCCTAAAATTTTAATGAACTCAATACTAGATTACTTTCTGAGAATTGGACTGCCTGACTATTTGTCATTTTATGATGCCCATGTAGCATGCCCACTTAAAAAACTGTATACAAGAGCAAACCTCCAAAACCCTCGATATCACTTGATGTCACTTCTCATTGTCCAGCCCGTGCTAGGAATCGCGCATTGAAAGGTAAGACCTCATTAGTTTTTAGCTCGCACTAGTTTCGACTTCTGAGTATGAAATGGCGATACTTCTCCCAGTCATATAATATCTTATCCAATTGATAATATTACAGGGAAAACCTAAGTTATTCATTTTTTGCAAAATGAATTCAACATTAACCGTATCAATGTCTTCGACAGGTGCATATCAGAACTGCTTCTAGTATTGAAAAAACGCTGGAACAAGTGTAATTTACCTGAGGGGGGCTAATTTAAAGGGGACAAAATAGAAATTGATGAATAAACAAATATTTTTTGAAACAAATTGAAATTTACCAAATGCTCTTCAACTTCTATGTAGTGCTTATAAATTCTCTTTAGTTATTTATGGAAAGGCCAAAGATACAAAACGACGACCATAGATAATATTATTTGTATATTGATGAAGATCCAGTGCAATTGATTGATAAAAATGCCTAGGTCTTCAAATAGACTAGAATCTCAGATTAGTCCATTGAGTCAATACTCTCATTCAAAAATCATACAGTATATTGAAACATTTTAATTAAACAGACGCTGTTTATGAATATGTCTGCTGAAAGTGGGCTGAGTCTACTTTTATCAGATATATTTATGAACAGCTTGGAGACCACTATAGTAAATTCCAACCTGCACTATGCAAGCAAGGGTTGGAAACTCATTTATTTGGAATATTTAGACATTCACAAGCATATGCATTGCGGATGTTACTTGCTAAATGACCAACTCGACCTAGTCTATTCGCCGGTTTTCAGACCCACATTGTCACAAGTAAACTAAATTTCGGTTCTCAGTTAAGTTAATGACCGTCTATGTGATGTGATGTGATGTTTAGATATATAAGAATTAACATTGTTCATTATATCAGTTGATTGTATTCGTTTGAAAATGTCCTTCTAGGATGAAACTGCAATAACATTAATTACAAATACAAGTTGTAAAAAACATAGCGTTCTGCTTTAGACCATTCATCATTATTATAATGGTATATTTGCATAATAACACTGTCATTGACATCTGCCACAATAATTTTGTCTCGGTTTATATTTAACCCACCTGATATCATTGTGATTAACGTTATTGATTGAAATAAATTATTATTACTATTATTTTTTACCGAAATATGCGCTGGTCAGGACCTATCCCCCGAAGCCCCGATACGTTTCCGACGTCAGTTTCCGACTGCAGCCCACTCGACCTGAGAAAAGCGAACGTCAGGCGCTTTGATAAGCCAAGGTCTCCAATGTTATTGAGGAAGACCCCATGCATTGGCTTATCCTTGTGTTTCCGCAGAAGTCAGATGATCTCTGCGGCTTTTATCTGAGCTTTTTGCTGAACGGATTCCAACTCGGTGACAGAGTTGTGGTCACCTCGTTCAGTGTCGAAAACTGACCGAGTACATCAGCTGCTCGGGCAGTTGCCCTAAAGAGAAATGCTCCAATTGCTGCTCTCACATGGTTACGGACCATGCAGAGGAGGGGATCCGAACTTCTGACGACTTTATTATTATTATTATCCGTAGTGTGCGCTGGTCAGGCCCTATCCCCCGAAGCCCCGATATATTCGGGAGGGCGCGTCAGTATTATCAACCATGACCACTCCCCACACCGTGGGGTAAGTGATCATTGGGTCCGAGAATCATGTGCCCTGAGCAAGCGCACTGAGCCAAGAATGACAGCCTTTTGCATCTGTGTGGCTAAGATTTCTGCCCTAGTGCGGCAAGCCGATATGATTTTAAGATTTGAGAATAGAGAGGGCATCATTCCACCAAGGACTCCAACAATCAGAACAACGATCTTGACAGAGTGATCTGGTCTTTAATATTATTGAAGAAGACCCCATGCATTGACTTATCCCTGTGTCTCCGCAGAAGTAAGGTGATCTCTGCGGCTTTTATCTGAGCTTTTTGCTGAACGGGTTCCAACTCGGTGACAGAGTTGTAGTCACCTCGTTCAGAGTCGAAAACTATACCGAGTTCATCAGCTGCTCGAGCATTTGGCTTCAGCGTTGTCTCCAAAAAATTATAAAGAAAGAACCTTTGTTCGTCTATGCTATAATATTTGACATTTCTTGGTAGGACTGATCGTGAATCTAGCGAATTGATAGATAGAAGGCTTGAAGGCTAAATGATCATGATCTGACGTAATCGATGAAATTTATAAAGAGCTACCAAAAGTTAACCTTCATTTTCTATTTCAGTTATTCGATGTAGTTTATCGAGAAGAAACTCTGCTGAACGTGATTCGATCAGTTACTAGAAACGGAAGATCTATCATACTAACAGCAGTTTTAGCTTTGATTTTGGTTTATATGTTTTCGATTATTGGGTACATGTTCTTCAAAAACGACTTCATTGTCAGTGTTAACAGAAAAGGTAAGTTGAATGAAATATTTCATTTATTTGAAAATGATTTGTCAATTGTGGATTGAATTAGATATAGTGGTTTAATCAAATATTCTCCATGATGAAACAATTGAATGAATCATGTATATTATGTTCGGTTTCTCCATAAATTTGGCCCATTAAAATTCCCTATATTCCCTCTTGAAAATGGTCATAAAAGATAGGCCCGATGAATGAATAGAGAATGAATACATAAATTAAATCACATTATCACAATCGATCATCTTGATTATTATTAGATACAAAACATATAACACCATTGAGCACCATTAAATTCAATGAATTTTCTTATTCATAAGATATAAAAGATATGTTCAATCAAATTTTGGCTTGTAACATTCACCAAGACCATTCACCAAATACTGTGAAGGTTTTCTCTCCAATAATCCACTAAACAATTAAACATTCTAGGATCTACAGATGTTTCCTATCATGTAGAATAATTATTTGCAAAGAAAACGTACTGAACATAACATATCAGATTTTGCAAGAGTTATCGACCCTTTGGGTTTTCTTAGCGTAATCACAATAGTATGCAAATACCTAATGGAAACTTCATAGACGTCAGGTCTATACTGGGATGATTCAACTCCTGTTGGACCATTGGTCAATTTCAAGACCGAACTCTCCTCCCTATCGGTCATCAAAATTCCACTATTTGTTGAGTTGTCAGTAATATGTGAAATTTGCTACTCTACGGTTTTTGTGATGCTGTCAAGAAGGCTTATTTATGCATTAATCATTAAGTGAGATTACAAAATGAATCAGAATGCATTACATACATTTTTTGTTATTGCGAAATCGAAAGTTGCTCGCTCAAAATAATTTCAATTTCATATCTGGAATTATCTGCTGTCTGCCCCTAAAATATTCTCTAATACTCAAAAAACATAGCATGTTGTGCCAAACAATAGCCAATTCTGTGACACAGAGATAATCTCATATCTCTGAATTCATTTGGCGTAATTCTGGCACAAAGTTAGATAATTTTCCCCTTCAAAAAAAAACAATCATGCGGTGATACATCTCATGATCTGGGAGGCCACTTAATCGTATTACGTATAGATATCGATATGTGACTTGAACAACTATCCTGTTGAAACCAAATGTCCTCAAAATTAATGCGAGGATGAATTGTTGGAATAATTTGATTGTGTAGTAGCTGAAGGTATTTGACAGCATAGCGTAGAATTTGGTAGTTGTAGTACTAATTAGTACTATATTGCTGTATTGCTGCTGTTCCAATGTTTTGACAGAATCAGAATCAACGAACTTAGGCGCAGCGTTATAGAACAGTGCTTCCAAAAAATTGTTCTACAGCGCCACCTAGTGGCGAGTTACAGAAAAACTGATTGCCTAAAAACCTTCTCTATGAAAAATTACTTATACATGTCAAGTTTCATCATAATCGGTTGAGCGATGTAGAAGTTTATCACTTACCAACCAACCAACAAACATCCATTTTTATATATTAGATTAGACAATGGAAGTCCGAACTGATGACACGAAACATTGTCAACCAACTTCAAACATTGGTTGACTTTGATTTGACTGAATTCATCGTGACAATCTGACTTCTATTTCGTAAATAGGAAGTAACTCATCTATTTGCTACTCCACGAACTCCATTGCGGTTTAATTATTGAAATAGAAGCTCATAATTTGCAGTATTCAATGCTCTATTTAGATCGAAATATAGTGCAATAGGATATTCCTTAGTATTCAAGCTAGAATCAATCACATTACATAATTCCTTCATGGCCGATTCTGTAGATTTTTCAGACCGAAATCCATGTTTACTGTCTTTTAATAATTTATTATTTTCCAAAAAAATTTTTTGACGGAAATTGAAGCAATAATCGATTATTTTCGCTAGTTGACTTTGTAAGCATATATTTCTGTAGTTGTTAATGTTTTCCTTGTAACCTTTCCTCTTATATATCGGTGTTGACTTTGAAACTTTCAATTTTTCAGGATATTTTCCTGTACTGAATGATTCATTGATTATGTGACACATTGACTTCAGAACACACTTTATGTATTGTCTCTTTTATCTCAAGTGGAGTTGTTGGAGACATGAAATAAGTAATACTTGAGAAATGTTATAATTTTAGCTTATCCAAATTGGGGTTAATGCTTTGCAAAAATTCGTCGCATATTACCGTTTTTGATGATCTGACTGTCTACAACAATTTTACCAATCTCATCTCTGGATCCACTGCTTCTCATCTCGTTAATGATTTTCCAACTTTAATTCAATACATTGCCTGTTTCACAACTTATTTCATTATTATAATTAATTTTTGAGTGTTTCATCATCTGCTTATATGTTTGTTGCAACTGTTTAATCTATTGTAAATCACCTCATTTCCAGTGGTCTTGTATATTTTTGTCATATCAACTAACATTTGATGCATTTGCCTCAATTCATTTGAAAACCATGGCTTGAAAGCTTTCATTCAGCAAACTGTAGTAACAGGAAATGACATGTTGAAATAATACAACATTATTTCATGAAAAGCATTGAATTTTTGATCTAGTAAGTTAGAATCGTAAACTTCAGCCCAATTTTCTGAACTCAAAATATTTCTGAAAGTATTCAAATCATTGAGAGAAAAATTCCGCTTTCTTATATACCTATTCAGTTTTACCTCTGACTTTTTGTAGTTCAAAACAAAATTGCTGCAATGTATGATGTGATAAATGAGTATCTTCAATGAGTACAGATAATACTTGTATTAGAAAAATCACGTCAATCCCTGAAACTGTGGTTTGTGTGATTCGTGTGGGTTTATCAATGTAATTTGTCATACCAAACTCGTTGAATAGATTTATCATTTCAACTTTCTCTCTGCTACTATGTTTCAGGATATCCACATTAATATCGCCGCATACGCTATAATGATATTCCTTATGATGAATGTTGTTCATTGAATCATACACTGCATCTCTTAAAATGTCACTATTACTGTTTGGTGTTTTATATGCAGCTATAATAAATAGTTTAGATTTATCATTTGAAACATCCAACACAGCAATACTAATTTCATAATGCACAGATTTGGCTGGAATATTATTTTCAGTATAAATACACGTACCTCCATAGTCAGAGTCTTTCCGACAAAAGCTACATATCAGTTCGTAACCAGTAAAAGCTGTGTTTTCAATTTCATTGTGAGATTTTCACCAAACAACTTTATGAAAACCCTGTACAATAGCTTCTTCATGCCTGAAGTGAAAATCTCACAATAAAGTGTTTCTTGAATATGTTATGGATTTTCATTCATCAAGCATTGGCCGATTCCATAACAATTTTTGTGTTTCAAGAGTCCCTGAAATTATTGTGAATATATCACTTGCACTAGAATACAAAAACTAGATCGAACCGAAAATAAAAAAGTGAAATAACATTAGAAAAATCCGTATTAAGAGATTTGAGCCGGTTCTAAGCCTCTCCCCACCACTATGATGTCATTAATGACTAATTAATGACAAGTGGTGTAATTAGGGTGACCTTGAACGATATGTCTTGTGCATGATTAGTTTTTACCTTAAACGATATGTCTGGTGCATAGCTGGAAATGTATTAATAAGAATAATTACTCTGCCTGAGACATCGGGTGTGTGTGTGACGTTATAACAATTGTTTGACATTGAGATGGGCGAGGTGCATACACGGGTATGCAGATTATCCTCCAGGTGGACTAAGTAAAAACTATCTTGAACAGAGTACACATGTCTAAACACCAAAAATACCCTTCAACTAATGAGCAATCTGTGAGCTCATCTAGTCAGTGAATGGCATCGGAGAGAAAGGGGGTAATGACATTGGAATTTGCATACACGGTAAAGATATCGTCCATGAATATGAAGAATAGATTGCATACACGGTAGTAGATGAACAAGGTATGTATGAGCGCAAAATCCCATGTATTTTCTTATGGAGCTGAACTTTTTGCGCGTGCGTGTATGTGTATGTGTCGTAACCGATGCAAAGAGAGATGAAGATGGTATCGAGTTGATGAATTATTAGCGCAAGCATGACAGGCTTGATGTCGGTTTTAAAATAAATCGTTTTTTATAGGGCGATGTAGCATTTGCCGGTTGCTGGCTACAAAATTAAGCATGAAGGGTTAGGAATATGATTCGATGAAAATTGTATGGTAATGAGATGTCGACGACTAGGAGGGTCTAACGTTTTAACATGCGTTCCAACATGTCAGAAGGACACTGAAACATGACAGTTCAACGAGGCTGTAACGTTTTAACGTACGATCTCTCAATGTGTCTCAAAATACAATATTAAAGAAAACAAAAAAATAGCGTCGAATTATACAGGGTACATTAAAATACATCATTTGAGAAAAAACATATGACAGTTTCACGGGGCTGTAACGTTTTAACGTGCGATTCCTGAATGCGTCCCAAAATACAATATTAAAGAAAAAACATGGCGTCGAAGTATACAGGTTGCATCAAAATACATCATTTGAGAGAAAAAATGACATTTTAACGAGGCTGTAACGTGTCATCGTGCGATACCTCACTGTGTACAGGGAGCCTCAAAATACATCATTTTATAAAAATACATTTTGGTTTAACGGAAGTGTAGCGTTTCAACGTGCGATCCCAATTAGACCCAAATATCAAGATTATGACAAATGTGACTTTGTCAAAACGTCTCATTTGTCATCATCTGGATATTATTGTTAAGTGTTCCTTACTATACTGGTGAAATAATGTTTGTTATGTGTTCGAAATAAACTGTTTTTACACGCTCTACTACCTACTCTATAGGTACAATGATGTTTGTTACGTGTTCGGAAGTAGACTGTCCTCACACGCTCTACTACCTACTCTATAAATATTGTTGTTGATTTTTACCTGGGTTCTTCTTCTTGATCAACCTCTTCTTCTCGTAAATTTTTGAAATGTTGAATCTAAAGTTCTCACGGATAGGAATATGCTTA